CCTGCGCGGCGCCAGACCCGCACGAACTGCGCGCGCCTGGCCCCGCCCAGCCACGGCCCGGCAGCACGGCCACGGCGCCGCGGCCCAGGCACCCCCCGCTCGATCCCCATGGAGCGCTGCCCCCACGCGCCCCAGCCGGGGGCAGCCCGATTGAGCGGGGGCGGGCCAGGTTGGTTTGGGCGCCAGTAGCGCCGACGCGGCCTCGCGGCGCGGCCCGGGCAGCAACGCGGGGGCCCAGCCCGTCTCAAACGAACGCCCCAGACGCGGCCCGACCGGGGCCAGTCCAGGGCGCGCTTGGGGCCGCAGACGCCACCTCACGCGTCGACTGCAAAGTCTCTCTGTCGGCGCTCGTTTGCGATTGCCACGGAGAAATGTAAAAACCTTTTTCTCGGCGCGGGAATGACGCCGGCGCAGCCATTGTGCCGCGTCCCAGGCGTCCGCGGCTCAATCCCTGGCGCTGACCCCGCGCGCCCCAGCTGGAGGCGCCCCGACTGTCCGGGTGCAGGCCGGGCCCTGGGCTCTATAGCTCCGCCGCGGCCTCGCGGGGCGGACCAGACAGGGGGGCCGGCCCGCGCGGGCCCCCCTCGATGGTGGCCCAGGCCGCGCGAGGGCGCCCACCCCCACGCCGCGGCCTCTCCGGGCAGCCCTGGCGCCGTTGCCGATCCGCCCCAAGCTCGAATCCCAGCCAACGCCCGCGCGCTCTGTGGGCGCGCTGGAATTGGCAGGCGATCTGCGGCGCCAAGGGGGGGGGCGCGAAGTTCCTGGCACGACCCCCCCCAACCCGCCCCCGCGCTGGCGAGCGCGGCCCCGCGGCGGGGGTGTCTCGAAGGGGCCGCAGACGCCGAACGGCGCCCCGTCGTGTGCCAGGCACTGCTTCCATAGGCGATTGCTGTTTCCTGGTGTCTCTCTATCGTCGCTCGCCATTGCCGGGGCAAGCTTGGACCCTTCAAACATGCGCGAGATACGGTCTACAATGATTGAGCTCTGCCCGTCTCCGCCGTCGCCTCCCGCGCGGTCTGCTTCCGCGGGGCCCGCAGTCCGGCTCGCTCCAAGACGCCCCCCCCCCCAGCGCGCCCCGGCCAGCGCGCCCTGCCCAGCGCGAAATATCGCCATGGGGGCGCTCGCCCTTCCCGCCAGCTGCAACAACCCAGCGGCGCGCGATGCGGCCGCGGCGCCGCGCCGCAGGCGCCCCTGGCTCAATCCCCAGCGCTGCCTCCCAGCGCGCCCCAGCTGCGCGGGCCCGAGGCGCGGGCCAGGCGCTGGGCGCCAGCGCTAGCACTGCCTCGGAGGCAACACGGCGGGGCGGCGGCCCCCCGCGCCCCTGGCCCAGCCTCCTCGCGCGAGGATAGTTGAGCTGAGGGCGCGCGGGCCTGCCAGACGGCAGCAAGCCCCAGGCAGCCGCGAAGTTTGGTCTGGATGGTGCGCATGACACCACGGCGCTGGGCCTCCCAGGAGCTCACCACAGGGGCGGCACTTGCGCCGGCAACACCAGCCCACAGACAGCCGCGAGGTCTACTCAGCATGGAAGTGCGTATGCAATACTGCGCGGGAGCTCCGAAGTTTCCCTGAAAGTGGCGACATCTGTGCAGGCTATGCAGGTTGGCAGCCCGCACAGGGAGGGCGAGAGAGGGAGCGGTACAGTGGAGGCCAGTCCACGAGAAACCTTCCACAAGAACCCCAACCCTGAGACCCCAGGACGTCAATCGACTTGGGATGGGAACGTCACGTTTTCCACATCAACCAAAAAATCGAAATCCAAGAAACCCGGGGCACCCTGGAGGCAAGCCTGGTGTTTCTTGGCATGGGCCTCCACTGTAATCAAAACGGTAATTCACCCGACGCAGGAGGGTTGGATATACATGTGCATTCTCGATGCGTGGGAGGTCTGAGGGAAGGGGAGGCAAAGCACCAGACGCGGAGGAGGAAGTGTCGGGAAAGCAGCAGCAAGAGAGACGCTTCCGGGGGGGGAACCAGCGATGACATAAACATACAAACTCGGAGGTCCGCGCGGATGTCTCGAATCGGCGCTGGACCCTCCTCCTTGGCGCTCGGAGCGCGCCAGGGGCGGCGCCGGAGGCGCCGAGGGGACCCCAACGCCAATCTAAGAAACCCGCGTGGATCTCCGAGTTGTTATGTTCATGTCGCTGCTTGGATCTCTACAGTCAACACGCATAGTAAGAATCAGCGCCCTTCCATGGTTACCATTGTATCCTCCCCCTTCGGCCCATCCTTGGCCGCTTTCGCTGGCCGCGCCCCGCTCGCAAAGTGTCGGCATGGGCTTCCAAAGCCCTTGCATCCTTCCCGCGCGTCCTTCTCTGACGGGTTGACTGCATTATTTTCTTACCTGAGGGGGCGTCCTTATGCTCCGGCGAGGCGAACCTGGACAGAGCCCTGGCGCCCTGGAGCAGCAGGAACGCGTTGTAGGCGGTGCTCGCCTCTCGCGTCCTCGGTCGCGGGGGAGTTGGGAGGGCAGGGGCTCAAGACAAAGCCGGGACGAGGACAACCTCGGGTGAGTTTGGATCGAGAATCTCTGAAATCCGGCGGCTCTGGAAGATGTCTCGGGCGCCGCGGCCGTCTCAGAGCGCTCCAGAACGCTGTGAGAGCATTTTGGAACGCTCCGGAACGGATTTGTTCTCGCCCCAGCCCCAGCCCCGTCCGAGGGCTGGGGAGAGGAGAGGGGCCAGACGGAGGAAAAAGCTGCGTGGACCCAACCTTTCGGGGGTCCACGCAGATTCTTGGGTCGGCGCGGAGGCGCCGCCAAGGAGGCTCCAGCGCCGACCAGAAGAAATCCGTGCACAAGGCAGAACATCGATGTGCATGCTTCTTCTTATCCGAACGAAGCACGGGGAGCACAACAAAAGGGCAGCCGAAATCAGGAACGCTCCACAAGGACCGAACCCGAGGAGGGCCAGAGGAACGACCACGGGCTGACCCGAGGAGCAGCGGGCCCCTTCCGAGCCCAAGGCCCTAGGCGGTCCTTGTTCCAGCGTCTTGGCTGTATCGACGGCGCGCCAGGGGGGGGGAAGTGAAGAGGGGGCGGGCCTTCTCAGAAGGCTCGGGAGGCCTCTTGCCTCCTGCGCAGCTCCCTGAGCCATCCCCCAACACTTCACACGGGGACAATTCTCAGACGGCGCGAGGGCTTCTGAAAAGCCCCGCCACCCTCCGAGAAGGCCTGCTTCCTTCTCCCCCACTTCTCCCCGGGCGCGCCGCCGACATTGGTTTTTGGGCCCTAACTCGGGTCTCCGGCGGCCGCTCGGGACGATCCGGGCGCCCCCGGGACGCCCTGGGCGAGGCGCAGCTGCTGGCAAGCACCCCGAGGCTGGAGACCCGCCGAGAGCCTACGACGACATCCGACAACCTCGAACCTCGCACCGTTCGAAAACGTCTCCCCCCCCCTTGGGCTCGCCGCCGACTGCAGGATGGCAGGAGCAGGGGGGAGGGGGGCAGGAGCGGCCAGCCTCGTCGCTGCCGGTCGGATCGGCACGGGCTGTGCATCCGATCGGGCCACGACAGCACGGCACGGGCATCGCATCGGATCGGCCGCGCCGGGATGCACAGCAGCGACGTGCAAGCAGCGGGACGCACCGCATCGCCAGAACATCGGGATCGGATCGGATGGATCGGATCGGGCTGGGCCGAGGGGGGTGGGAGGACAGCGGGGTACGGCAAGCTTCGCGTCGTGACGATGCGTTGGTTCATGACACCGCGTGGGTCGTTCCGCCGTGACACATCTCCACTGCCCGACAGCGCAGATCGCTTGAGCTCAAGGCTCAGCGTGGGGGGAACGGATCCTCAGGGAACCGGGTCCTGGACCCTGGGGCCTTCCCCCAGGACGAGCTCTTCATCCTGAACCCTTTGCTGACGGTCCCCGGGCCCGTGGGGGGTCCCAGGAGTCCCGCAACGGCAAACGAAACTCCTCGAGACCCGTTCCACGTTTCCCTCTTGGACCCGCTTCCCCGATGGCGAATGCTAAGTTAGCCCGGCTCAGGCCGCCGGTGGCCTCCAGTCCGGAGCGCGCCTTCGCCGGCGTCGCCGCGGCGCGGTCGATGCCGCGCGCATCCGCCGTGGGAGGGCGTGAGGCTGGGAGCGCGCCCATGGAGGCAGGCGAGGGGGGGCAAGGGGGGGAGGGGGGAGGGGTGGTGGGCTTGCTTTCCACCGCCGCCACCGCAAGCAGGAGGGGGCTGGGGGTCCTCCTCTTCCTCTTCCTCTTCCTCTTCTTCCTCCTCCTCCTCCTCCACCTCCTTCCCCCCATCCAACTTGTGGTGGTAGTGGCGGGAAACAAGCCCATCAGGCGGGGGGAGCCCAATTTGGTAGTCCCCAAACGTGGTGGTGACAACACCTGGCGGTGAGTCTCGGGCGATTTGGTGTCACCACCCGGTTTGGTGACTCGTGCGGTTTTCCGAGGATGTCCCGGACACTGGAGGGTCCAGGAGTCACAAACCCCGGTGGTGACCCCGCGTCCCCAAACCCAGCGGTGACCTTTTTGGGGATTCCAGGTCGCCACCTGGTATCTCACCACCCGGTTTGGGGGTATGGGACCAGTGGTCCGCGGCGGAGGGTGGTCCGTGGCGCGCGCCGGGGGGGGGGGGGCGAGGGGGGCGGCCGAGTTCCCAATACCGCAGAAGGGGCTTCTGCGGGCAGGCCCCAGGGGCAGGCCTACTATGGTATATGGTAGGCCTACCCCGAGAGCTCTATGGGCATTCAACTTCGAACCCCCGCGCTGGGGTCGCCGCCGTGTCAACAGTCCACGAACCTGCCTTACCGTGGTCGGAGCTGCCTGATCGAGCAGCGGATGCTCGTTATCATTGTTTTCCTTTGGTCTGATGAAATAAAGAGGGTATATCGCGCGTCCTCAGCTGCTGCAGCGCGTCCAGGCCTGGCCTAAAGCGCTCGAACTGCTGCTCATTCATGAACAAGGATCCCTGTAGAGGAGAGGAGGTAGGGTGAGGAGGAGGTGGACAGCATGATACTGCTATGACAGGGCGGCATCAAGATGCGTTTCAGGAATTCTGGAATATGGCAGCCCTCGTCCCTGGAGTCCGTACGGAACAACAGGAAATCCTGGAATTCTTGGAACGCAGCAAAATCATGACTCTTGCCCTTTTGAGAAAAGGAAGTGGGAGAAGTGAAGAAGAGGAGGACAAAGGGGCCTGCATCGACTTGGGGCCTAACTTCCCGCACATCTGCACGAAGATCCGGAAGCAGAAAAACGCGAAACCTTCGTCGCCATGGGGCCGCAATTTATCCTTGACCACAACGAGGTTCCCGGCCACGTTCTCCCCTTGCACGAACTGATTGAACTTGAAATCCACGCTGAGCGAGTCCTTCGGGGGTGGAGAAACGCCCATGTTTCAAAGCACCCTTTAGTGAAAACGACCTGAGACCAGACCCAGCCGGCGCAGGCCCGAACAAAATGTGGCCGCAACGACTTCTCGACAGCAGAAATTGGGCAATTCGCTGATCCGCTTGGCAGGATCAAGGTTCTGTCGACCTCCGGGTCCTTGATGAGCCTCTTGTACCTGTCTGGCAGCCGCTGGTACGAGGGTACGACCTCAGGCTGGCTTTCGAGGATGCTGGCGAGAGCCGGGTCGTGCGCCTGGCTGTCGAAGTTGGGAGCCAGCTCTTTTCGGAACTCGGTAATCTTGCCAAGGGCATGGATGGCCATGAACGTGAGAATCGCGTCGATGGCCTCTTCCGACACCAGCTTGACCTCGTTCCTCATCCAGTCCTGAACCCACGCCCAGGACTGCCTCGACAGCGCCTGGTCCTCGTCTTTGTCCTTCTGGCCGCGGACGAAGGAGTGATACTGGTCCCTCCCAGGCGATCAGAAATACCCCCTGGCGTCAGAATAGCCAGCAACATCAAGAAAGTCTGAACTCTCACAAGTGCAACAAAATATGAACATTGCAAAACGCGAAACAAGCTAGGACGCCCCTTCCTCCCCCCCCTCCCTCGGCGCCCATCCCCTGGCGTTTTGCTCTTCCTCCCTCCACTCCCCCCTCCTCCCAACGTCGGCCGTCTTCCTCCATCGTTCTTCCTCGTCCTGCAGAGGTCTGCGCAGACACGCAAGCATGTGCTTCCGACCGCCCACCTCACGAGCCAGAAGACAGCGAGCATTGCACACACTGTCTGGTCTTTCTTCTCCGCGTAGGTGTCCAAGTAGGACAACTCGGGGAACGCTGCGTGGACTCTTGACATGAATGACTTCTCTGTGAGCTTTCCGCTGCTGAGGTCACCAGCAAGATCCTTGCCCTTCTTTTTTAACTGGTCGAGAACGGACTGGTTCTTGACTGGGATCCAAACCTTACGGTCCCGCCAATCTCGCCTTCCGCTGTATCCCCCGATCGACAATAACGCCAGTCACGACGACCACACTGACCACACGCCGATCGCGGAACGAATCGATCAATCGCACGCTGAGACAGAAACCACCGCAAACATTATCCGCCATTGTGCCTGCGGTACGCCTGGTCGTGTTAGAATGCTTCTCTGTTGTGGCCCCTACGAGGCCCCGACAAGAGTCCAATATGTCTTCAAAGGGGACCAGGAGGACAAAAGAGGAAGAACGAAAAGAACAATGCTGCGGACAAAAAATGGGGAGTACATCATCCGCGTCAGTTCAAACAAGACACTGACCTGGAGCGGGTCTTAAACTCAATCACCTTCATGCTGCGCTGCTGCGCTGGCACGGTGATGGAATCTGCTGCAGGAAGCTGGATAGCTACAACATGCGATCAAGGGTTGCGAGGCCAGAGTCCACAACACTCGCGATCACAAATTACGCGATCAACAACATATAAGGTCCCCACCTTCGGGATTACGAGCACAGTGTCGGCAGCCGCGTGCAGTTGTATCTCAAAAGGGAGATCCTGGAACGTGACTGACCCTGTGAACGATTTGGCAAACTTCGCAAGCTTCTCCATGTTTATCATAACGATACTCTTGTTGCTTTTGGGGAAATCTATGGCCACTCGCTGGTACACCTTGCTGAGGATCCGCAGCGCAGGCACCAAACCCACCTGCTTGTTCTCCAAAGCAGCGGTCAAATACGCCCGCGCGTCGCTCAAGATGAATCCTCGGGGCCGGCCTAGAAACATGCAGACCCGAATCAACCGTGGCCATGCCGCGAACCCGGGCCAGCCGCGAAGTAACTCTCGAACCCAGTTCAGCGGAAGGGTGGGTGAGGGTGTCGGCCCTACGCGTCTCCCTCTGACGGGCTAGCCAAGCAGAATTACCCGTCGGTTGGAAGAAGTGGGCAGAACCATGAGGTAGGAAGGCGTTGAAGTAGATTGGGCTTCCGCCCGCCCCCTGGAGAGGAAGGAGGGGAAAGCACTCGATCATTAAAGCAAGAAGGCGCTTGAAATATATTGGGATCCGAAAATTCTGAAATACCTACTTGTAAAGACCGGCGTGTAGCGGGCGCCCGTGATCGCATAACCCCGTTGCATCAGCCCCGGAATTCCTGGCTTCTGATCGATGCCGTCTGCTGTCAGGTGCATGACCAGCCCGTTGCGCTCGTCCGTGTCCAGCTCGTCGAAGGCTTCCCTGACTAGCGGCGCCGAGTCTGTGTCTCTGATGGCGCAGAGGCATGCCACGCGCACTACCGCCTGCGAATGAGGATCGCCCGAGTGGCACGGCAGTCCCATTTGTTTGCTGCGAGCCTGGAACAAAACACACATCTGCATAATCATGAACTGTTGGAGGTACACGCGGATTTCTGAGATCGGTGCTGAAAATGCCTCCCAGGCGTGCGGAGCGCGCTTGGGGTGGTGCCAGGGGGGGCCAGGGAAGAAATCCGCGCAGACATCCAAAAGCGCATGCTTCTGCAAACGTGTGGTTCGCCGAGGGCCTGCAGGAAACGCTCGTAGATCAGCTGCTCGCTGCCCTGGCCCAAGCCCAGGAGAGCGTTCATTCCGAGCTGGAACTCGGTCCACCGGCCCTCCGTCATGTGCAGGGACCCCTCCAGGCTCTGCTGCCCGCCGATCGCCGACATCTGCATGAAGACGGTGGACATGTAGAAGTGCAGGTACTGGTCCTTCGTGAGACTTCCTGCCCTGTTCATCGAAAGCATGTCCTTGAGCGGTGAAGGACTGTAAGAATCACGATCGGCGAACGAATCCATATCCACGCCCTCGCGGTCTGGATCCAAGGGAAAGATCCCAAATATTGGCAATCGCATGGATGGGGTCTGCGTAGGGTATCCGGTCAAGAACTCACTGCCTGTAAATTCCCTGGGGACGCGGCCCAGGCCGTGGACATGGGCATGCGTCCCGCCCTCAAAAAGAAGGAGGAGAAGGACGGCGAGCAGTGCAAAGGATGAGAGGAGGAAGAAAACAACTCCTTGAGCGTTGTCAAGCTTGCTGGGATGAGCTCCGCGTCCAGGAACATGCCGAAATCAAACTGCCGGGTGAGACACTCCTGTACGAGCTGCCGGTACTGGGGGCTCAGGCGCCAGAACGACGGGAGCACCTCGAGGCGTCTCGCAGAGGAGGGGGATGAGGCCCACGGATACGGCAAGGAAAGGGAGGAAGATAATAAGACACACACGTTATGACCATACACCTTTGGAGGGCCGCGCGGATTTCTTGGATCGGCGCTGGGCCCCCCAGGCGCGCGGAGCGCGCCAGGGGCGGCGCCAGGGGCGGCGCCAGGGGCGGCGCCAGGGGCGGCGCCAGAGGCCCAGACAGCGGGATCCAGCGCTCGTCCATAGAAACCGCGCAGACCTTCGTTCTGCGAAGAGTGATTACACTTAGGGTTTCCTTCTTTCTAATGCACTTGGCATTCTTGCCGTGTTCGCCGCCTTGCTGTCGCCGTGGCCGCCCCGTCGCCGCCTCGTCGTCGCCAGTCGTCTGGGTGTCTGGGCTCCATTGCCGGGTTCGCCGCCTTGTTGTCGCCGTCGCCGCCCCATTGCCGCTTTGCGTTACTTTGCATGGCACTGTGTTCCGTTACTTCACTTGCGTTAACTTGCGCTGCTTAACGCTGATTTGCACAGCCTTGCGTTGTTTTGCAGTGCTTTGCAGTGCTTTGTATTGCTCTGCATTGCTCGGCATTGTTTTGCATTGCTTTGAGTTGCTTTGCGTTATTTTGCTCTGCTTTTCATTGCTTTGAAATGCTCTGCATTGCCCTGTATTGCTCTACATTGCGTCGCATGGTTTTGCATTGCGTTGCGTTGCTTCGCATTGCTTCGCAGCTTGTAGACTGCACCACGTTGTGTGTACCATGTAGATTGCACCACATGAGTTGCTCCGCATAGATTGGAAGCCACCACTGTTTGTGATCCACGCTGGCTGACATTCTCCTGATTCGAAGGAAGAACCTTCGGGCTTGTCTCGAAGACCCTGGCCATCACCTGCCTGTGGTCGGCTGCGTCAGGTGCCAACTGCTGCTTGAGCTTAGGCAGCCTCCCCAAGTTGCACACGGCCATCGCCACGAACACGGCGTTGACTGCATCCTGATTTGTGTGGAGCTCGGCCGTCTCCATAAGGTCTTGGATCCCTCTCCAGGAGGCAGGCGTCAGCTTCTTCTCCGCCTCCTGGCTGCGGTTGAAAGAAGACTCCTGCCTGCTCACTGCCCAATAGGTCGTCAAGAGTGCCAGCAAGGTCTCTTTGTAATACTTCTTGCTAGCAGGGTCGTCCTCTGCGGTCAAGTACTTGAGCTCTAAAAAGATCGCGGGCAGCCGCTTCAGAAAAAGAGGCTCACGGACAGATGCGTGCATCGTATCGTTCACCTGGAGGGCTTAACACTCACACCCGGCCCGCCATCCACCCTCGAGCCCGCTCTGCAAATACCTCTGGTACGCTCGTTGGGCCAGGATCCCCTACGACCCTACGATTTAACCGAGGGTTCTGCATCACTCGTTGCAGCAATGAAACTCCGTTTGCCAGCGCGGGGTGCCTTGCGTCTGCGGGGGGCCGAAGTGTGCTGCCCAGGCAGGCCGTCAGTGGAGCAACCTGGGAGGCGTGTGGATGACGCCGCTCAAACCTTGGTGGCCTGAGCCAGAATCATGTCCACAGCGGCGAATGATGAACGGGGTCCTCACTCTAAACATACGGGGTTCCGTTCTTCGAGGATAAAAACAAATGTCCGCATGCGTGCGTTAAGTGCGTGTTGCTGCGTGCGTGCGTGCGTGCGTGTGGGCGCGTACGAGCGTACAGGTGCGTGCGAATGTGCGTGCGTCCTTTCGTCCTTCCGTCGTCGTCGTCGTCGTCTCGTGATCCCTCCTCTCGCTCTGGCTTTGACCAGGTCTGGTGCATGCCATTAATTTGCCATCCTTGCACTTCTCGCCTCAGCCCGCCCCTGACCTGAGAGTGCCCGGTTTGGTTCGAGTGTAGTAATCGTCACACGCGCGACTGTAATGTACGCCAACGCGGCCCGATCATTGCTGCAGCATCTCGGAGGAATAACAAGTGTTTGTGTGTGTGTGTGCTCGTGCAGATGTAAGACTTCTGTGCAGGCACATGCAGACATAGAAGTACACATAAACATACACAAGCACCCATCCCATATGTTCGTGCTGCGGTACTGCTCGGGGTATCTGTGCCAGTGTCATTGTGTTATGCTCTCGGAGCTGGGAAGGTTTCGACCCATTTCTGATGTCTCATCCTAGTTTCTCAGGGGTGGGGTTGGCATACGTTTTTTCTCGATCGGCGACCAGCTGGAAAGCTTCTTTGCTCAGACTGTCCAACGTCGATTGGTCGCTGATCGGCTGCCACGGGCTCCGGTGCACAGTGCCCTGGCGGTCGGACTTGTTGCCCGCGGCTCTCGTGATCTCGAAATTTGTGTTCTGATAACTCTCCGTGTCCTTCACCTCAAGCGTGTGCGATGCCATACCATCGCATACTATAGTCACTACCGCCTCCTGAGTGTTGGCGTACTCCTGCTCTGCAGCGCGGTAGATTGTCAATAACATCTTCATTGCGTTCACGAGCCCTACGTGGCTGTTCGTCCTGGAGTTGCACAGGACGTTGGGTGAGTTGAACAGCAAGAAAGCTGGCTTCTGGTCTACGCCGTCTCTGTTGACGAAATCCATCAGAGCCTTCCGCGAATCTGCGTCCAATTCGCTCCATGCCGCCGCGACCTCGTGCGCTACCTTCTTGTCAAACGCACGAGTCTGGCACGCAAGTCTGACAAGGGCACGCTTGGCGGGGTCCGACGCACTGAAGGCCAACTCCTGCGGCCGCGAGCGCTCCTGCAGGAAGCGGTCGTAGACCTGCTGCACAGTTTCTGACCGCAAGTGGCTCAACACATCCAAACCAACCCTGTAGTTCCCGTACTGCTTGTCGGTCATGAAGATCGACCCCTCCATGGTCTTGAACCCAAGAATGCCACACATCATGACCAAGATGCGGAAGAAAAGGAATCCGAGGATATCAATGTTGCCGGCGCTGGTCTGGTTCGAAATCTGTTTCACGGTCAGGAGATTCGCAGGGAAATTCTCAGCCTGGAGAAACTGGCCAAGGTTAAAATCAGATTCCGCTTTGACCGCAGCCACAATGGTCTGCTGCAGTCCGTCCTCGAGCTTCATGAACGACGGTACCAAGATAGGGTGCCGCTGCAAGATGGCCGTGATGCCCTCTCCGGGGGCGTCAATGTCAGGCACGAAGGTCTCCAAGAAAGGCTTGATCTTCCCCAAACTCGAGATTGCCACGTATACCAGCATGGCACCCAACGCCTTCATGTTTTTCGTCAAGCCGACCGTCTTGACGGTCCAATCTTGGAGCGCCTGCCAGCTGGGCTTCGTCAACTTATCCTTCTCCTGGCTCCTGACAAACAAGTCATACTGGTTTGCGCAGATCCAGTACACAGCTAACAGGGATCCGAGCGTCTTCTTCCGATCCTGCGCATACTTATCTGGAAAGTATTGAAGCTCAACGAAGATGTCATTTACAGCCTTGCGGAACTCACCTTCTGATATCTGATTCATGACCTTCCCGGCCAACGATTCTGATTGAACACGGTTTTTCTTCACACGGCTTGTGTATTCGATAGTCATTGTATCAGTCCACCTCTGCATCAACATCTTGGCCGTTTGAAAATTGCCATTGCGCAGTGCCACGTGCATTGGCAGGCAGTCGTTGCAGTCCACCACATCGATAGCAGCGCCAGCCTCGATCATGAGGAAGCACAAGCGGGTGTATCCCTTCTCCGCCGCGACGTGCAGCGGAGTCTGCTGGTCCTGGCTCCGCTGGTGCAGCGCCTTCCTGTTCTGCTCGTTGAAGAGCTTCAGGAGCTGGAAGATCGGCATGTGGCCGGCGCGCGCCGCGATGTGCAGGTAACTGTCGCCGTCGGTGGCCTGGAAACGCTCCAAGCGACGCTCGATCAGGGTTACGTAATCGTTCGGCCACGCCTCGGCCAACATCTCCAGCATCTTGGACCAGGCCGGGTGGGTCAGGAGCTCCGTGAGGTCCGGCAGCGAATTCGCGGACACCGTGCGCTGCGGGGCGTCCTTGCGCGTGTGCGCCACCTCCGCGGCCCCCGGGCCTCTCCTGCGCCCTCCCCTCTTGCTCTTCCGATCCTACTCTCTGCCTCTCCTCCTCCTCCTCCTTTTCCTCCTCCTCCTCCTACTCCCTGCTGCTCCTCATCTACCTCCTGTTCCTTTTCCTCCTCCCCTTCCTCCTCGTCCTCCTCTCTGCTCCTCCTGCTCCTCTCTGCTCCTGCTCCTGCCCCTGACGTGCGCCAAAGATCCGCACGAGGCAGCCCCCTTTGCAGCAGGCTGCTCCAGCTCCTGCCGCGGCAGCGTCCCCTCACGGTCGGCCCCGCAGAGAGCGTGCGCCGCCCAAGGGTTGGGTATACCGCTGGCCTCTTGGATATGAGAGGCATAAGCGCCCAGCAGCTTTGACGGCAAACCAGGGAGGGGTAGGGCCAGGGTAGGATCGCTCGGCATCGAATCGGGAGATCGGATCGAAAGAAAATGTGCGTCGGAACGGGCTGCATCGGCTCGGAATCAAGATCGAATCGGATCGGCTGCGCCGGGAAACACAACACAAGACCAGCACGAGAAAAAAAAACGCGTTGGGCCGCACCGGATCGTCGAAAGGTCGCAATCGAATCGAGCCGGCCAAATTCGATATCGGAGCGGATCAATGGAATCAGTGGACGTGGGCCGTGCAGGGAAGCACCATTGCAACGATTCCTCCCGAGGCCTCGACGGCATGGGAGGCCTGGTATGTGAGGGGCCGACGCCTCCGAAGCTCCCGTGGCATCTCAGAAAGATGTCACCCGCCAATCTGTCGCCGCGCCGTTTGTCGTCGACGCGCCCAAGCGGACGCCGCAAACACCACTACAAATCCAGGGCAAGCCCTGGGCCCCGCACCCCAAGTAGACGCCGCCGGCAGCGCAGCAACCCCCACAGCGAACCCACCGCGTCCGCAGCGGCGTTTGCCCTGGCTGCCGCGGCGCCCTTCCCAAGACGTAGTGCCGCGCGCCGGAACAAACGGCGCGGCGAGGTATGGCGGGTTCCCGAAACCCTGAGTAGTTTGTAGAGGCCTCCTAGATGGAGTCCGAGCAGATAGGGTCGGAGGATCGCGCCGCATCGTCGATGCATCGGCGACGTCGGCGAGGGGAAACAAGGTATCCACATCCAGCCGCGTCGTCGATGCATCCGGGATGCGGCGCGATCCTCCGACCCTGTCTACCCGGGCCCCATCTAGGAGGCCTAGATCTTGGGAGGCCGACTTTTGCTTACGTCGGCTTCAGCCGGCGGAACCGCCCTCGTTTTACTTCCGCCGCCTTCCGCCGAGGAAGAGATGGTAACGCCCTGATCCTCGAAGGCGAGGCCCGTCCTGGATCGCTCCGGATATCTATAGCCGAATACCACTGAGAACCACACCAGAGGGGGGAATGACGCTCGGGGCTCGGGGGGGATATCACATTTCTTGTGCCAGCAAAGCGTTCGTGATGGTGTCGCAACTCAACATAAAAAGAGAGCAACTTCGACCTGTAGGCCCTGGCGAAAATGAAGTGCCGCCTCGCCGCCCCGCCCCCCCGACCGACTCTGCCATGGCTCGGGGCTCTCACCTCTCGGGTCTCAAACAAGGTTTGTTTTCTCCAGGGCGCTCGGTTTGGCCGCCCGACTTCGTACAACCCGCCCCGCGATGCGTGCCGCGCAATTGTTTCCCCACCGTGGGTGAGGAAGGGAGGACGAGGAGGAGGAGGGGGCGGAGGAGGAAGGGGAGGAGGAGGGGGAGGAGGAGGAGGGGGAGGAGGAGGAGGAGGAGGAGGAGGACGAGGACGATGAGGAGGGAAGATAGGACAAGGCAACAAACCCTCGGACCCATGACGTGCAACCTGACTGCAAGCGCGCATGCTGACCTGCTCACACCATGCACAGAAAAGCAAAGGCTGGACCTGGGTGGCCTGCAGCGGCGAACTGCTCGCCCGCTCTACAGGCGGGGGACACACTGGCCAAAGGCTTGCCTAGGCGGTGACAGCCGCAAGATGGGGAGCCCTGGCACTGCTCCCCAATCCTCCAGGAGGAGCTCAAAATCAGACTAGCAGATGAAACCCATCCCCAAGACAAACTAAGAACCAGGACCCTGGGAAAAAGGACCGAAGTTCGAGGCCGAGGAGGAGGAGGGTCCAGAGGGCCCAGTCCGATTCGCTCTAGCCCGCCCTGGGGGCTTCATTTTAGGCCTTGCTGCAAAAACCCACCCTTTATCCACTGGAACGGCTTGGAGCCAGCAGCGACCGTCACCCCTGGATTCTGCAAACGGGAAGCCCTTCGGCACCCGCTGTCTCCGCCACGAACTCGCGACTCGAGAACCCCGCGAGCCCGGAGTCCCAGGAAGCGGCGGCTACCCACGAAAGCTGGCGGGACGAAGGAACAAGCCTCACTGTTCACGGCATCCCCACCCACAGGACGAGGAGGAGGCACATCAGCAGCTCTTACTTCTGGAACCTGTCCAGCAGACGAGCCGCATCCCGCTCGAGCGATGGGGCGGTGCAGCCCCATGTTTGCGCACCGCTCCATTCGCATCCAGATCTTCCTCGATGGTTAGCTCCAACGATTGATGCTGGTCGCCGACTGCGCGGTAGATTCGATAAAGCTCAAGCTGGTGATCGAACCAGTTGTTGGGCAGATTCTGCAAGCTCGAACTTCGTTGGTAAGCTCGTTTCAATTGCTTTGTCATAACGACCTAGCTCCCAAACTCCTCTAGATTCGTCTTGGCATCTGGCGGGCACGTCGGGTCCGTGCCCATCGCGTGTATCAGCGCGATCCACGCGTACCCAAAAAAAGGTGGGCCCAGATCCTCCTTCGCACTGCCTCCGACATCTGCCGAACGGTAGCACGGTGTGCTGCTCCTGCGCATTTGGCTGCGCGCGGGGCGTGGTTCGCGACATCGATCAACCTCGTCTGAAACGCGACCCCGCAAACCTCTCGCAACTCCGCTTCACTGTTCAACGCCAACCTGGTCAACATGACGATTCATCGCCTGAGAATGGCGTTCTCACCTCCTCCCTTGGCCGACTGCGAAGCGCGATCCACTAAAGCCTCTGCTGAGTCTCCAACGCGCCTCAAATTCTGCCTCGGTTCCTCGCTCTCCATCATCCAGAACGGGTTCCCCTCCATTGCGCGAGGGGACTCGAGGGGCGCTCTCAAGGTGCGTGCGCAGGTGCTCCTGCACATGCTCGAACAATCCAGATAACTACGGGCGCGGTAAGCATGCGAGAGACGACGGCGCGCGAATTTCACAAAGATTGCGCATGGCATCGGCAGTGCGCTCTCCTCGTCTTGGGCTCTGCGAGAGATGGCGACGGCAACTCTCGCGACGCGCAGAGACTAGACCGCATACGCAACATTGGTTTGGCGCGGACATGGCGCGCGCCAATTCTTGGGGCCCGCGATGCGCTATGATATGCGCGTGCGCCGCGCGTTGATTCCGTGAGATGCGCCCGCAGACCCCCCAGTGGGACCCAGTAGAGTACACCGGCGCGCACCCTCCATGCCCTCCTACTGGATCACCCCTGGAACCTCCTCCTCCGCAACCATGCGCTCGGCGGGGGGGCCCTGAACGCCGAGTTGTCGCGATCGAAGTTGTCGGGGGTCGATCCTGCAAAATTCCTCGCTCAACTCGGGGTCCGAGAAGGCGAAAAAAAAACTCCGTTGTCCAGGCGCTCGACGAAAGGCGCCCCCTCGCCCAGATCGGCTAGGGAGGAGGAATCAACGAGTAATCGGCGGGCCTGCGGAGAGATGCAAGTCGGCCATCAGGCGCAAGCGCGGGCTGAGCAACTTCACCGTGCCCGAGTCGCGCGGTGAGAACTTGTTGGTTGGCCAGCAGTGCTCGTGCCGGCGACTGCCAAAAGCGTAGGCGACGAGAAATGAGCACCGTCTCCAACGGCGCGAGTCGCCATCATCGGAGCGAAGCAGCAGAGGTCATGGACTTCACGTGCCCAGGGACCTCTCGATCACAAGCCTTTTCCACCCGCTGCCTTTCTAGCACACCCTGATGCCACGTCATGCATCTCAGATCGATCCCGTTGACTCGGCGCAATTCTCCCCAGGCCAGATCGAGCAGGATTACATATCATATATTAACATGTACATATACGAAGCCGACGAGGCATGCCGGGCACGCTATAGGAGCCGCCAAGCGAATGCCAGGGCTGCTGCAACGCTTTCTCACCAGACGTCAGCTCAGGCCCAAACGCCGTCGCTTTCGGAGACTCAACAAACCCAGAACTCTTGAGTTCCAGGCCGATCCGGGAAACGGAATGAGCCCAGCCCGAACTTCCCTCAGATTAGCGCCCGCCCCAAGACCTCGAAATGAGAAGGGCGCATCCTGCTTTGTAAAATTATGCCTGAGCCGACGCGGCTGCAAGGCAAAGTCCAGCTCCTGGTTGGATCTCACACTTGTGTTGACTAGGATCATCCCACTCTTGTCAGCAAGCTTCTGCGTCGAATCATCCGCGTACTTCGTAAGAGAGATACCCGCGGGCTGCCGAGTAATCGCGATGCGCGCGCGTTAAACCTGAGAGCGGGCCCCGCCGATGCTGCAGGTCACTCCGCGTATTTCCGGCGGGCGAAAAAAAAAAAAACGCGAGCGTGTTCGCGGCGAATCAATCGCCCACGAGCCCGCCGCATCCTGGCTGCAATATCACATCCCCATCGTTTCCTTTGAGAATCGTCATTGCTCAATCCATTCGCTGAACCCCATATTCCCAATCCTGTTCACGAAAAAGATCGGACGCGTGCCAAATCCACTGCCTATCACTGGATGCGAACGCATTCGCGAGGTCATGGGCGCCGGTGATGCATGAGAGCCCGCGCTGCTCAAGCCACCAGCCCACTGCGTTCTGGACAATGAGAGCCCCTCCCTCCTCCTATGCTGCATGGGCCCATGATCCTGAAACGAGACCTGAAGGGGCCCCGGCTTTCTCACCGCACAGCCACGCGCGCCTTTCCCAACGGATCTAGCTGGCGCACCCGCCTAGACTCCCCATCAGGGCGAGGAAGCGGCACCCCATCGACTCACGCGCCAGCGTGACGGGGCACAACGACAGCGCCGCACGAGCGACAGCGCGCACAACAACAGCTCCTGTCCGTAACTCAGATCTGGAACAGCATCAGACATCCCAAGACCTCCCCCCCCCCATGAGACCAGGACTTGCCAGGATGCAATAACATCCACCAAGGCTTCGAGGGGGGGCACCACTCTGGAACAGCACGTCGCTTTCTTGCCTTGTTGATGGCATACCAGTGGGCCTGATAAACCTCAGCCTCCGAAAAGCTCGGGCCACGGTGGACTCCCCGTGACATATCCTCCTTCCAATCGCCCCGGGACTCCACCCCCTGACGCTCCATCCCGCCCCCGGTCACCTCCTTCGAAAACTGGGCCACTGAACTAGAAACACCCCCCGCCACTCCTCGAACCGATTGGTATTCTCTCTTCTTGGGGCCCATCGAGACCCAGCAAGTCGCCCGGTGATCCTCGAAGCCTCGGTCAGCCGCCGAGCTCTCCAATGTTCCTGGAGCTCAGCAACTAGATCCTGCTGCACCTGTAGCCGCCCCCGCCTTTGTAGGGCCCGATTACGCTTAGACAGATCACGCAGCTGCGCAGCAAGACACTCCTCCTCATCATCCGTAGCCGTTCCCTCCAATCGACGTCTGGAAAGCCGTGAGACCAACAACTTTTCTCGTGCTCAACGGAACTCCTGCCTCTCCTCACACGCGAAGCCAGCTTCCGTGAATATCGCCTGCCCCACTTCACCCATAATCGAAGTCATTAGAAAAATCGAGGATGGACAGACCCCCCTTGAGTAAAACGTGGTTTAGTGAAAACGACCTGAAGCCCAAACCTGGCGGGCGCGAGCCTGGAAAATAAGTGCCACGGCGCCCTCTCGAGAGCCGAAAACGGACCATTCACTAATCGACGTGTCACTGTTGGGGGGTCTGTCCACCCCCGAAAAAAAGAGAGTCCTCCGTAGCCGATGCCAAATCATCTTCCGGCCCCACGCCTTCGGCGTCAGGCCGCGCGCGCAGGGCTTCCAGGACTTCGCGCCTCCGCGCGCCGCCCCGAACACACCCCATGACCAGGTCAGACTTCAACGAAGGATTGCAAAACAAAAACCAGGATTGCAAAAAAAAACCTTCGCTTGAACGAAGGATTGCAACAAAAACGAAGGATTGCAAAAAAACCTTCGTTCGAGCGGCCTCTTCTGTTTCTTCTCCTCCTTTGCCAGCGGGCGCCAGCACATATGGGGAAAGTACCTGCGCGACTCGATGATCGCACGGCCGGCGCCGTTTGGTATGATCTGAAGATCTCGACTGAACCCTCGCAGTGGGTTCGCCGCCTGCGTTGCCTGCACCCGTGGTCGACGTATACATATATAGACGATCCGAAACGCAAGCCCACTGCTTTAATTGAACGTGGACGCATATCCTCGAAACGGCCTGGCAGCCTGCATAACATGCTCCGCCAGAGAAGGACCCATCAGAGCCCAACGTAGTAAGCCGCGGACGCCGTGCAACTCGGTACCACATGCAAGTTGTCATGCACCCACCTGCCGCCCTCATCCTTATCTTGCCCAACCCGTCATTCTGATCATAGCAAGGAATAGGAATCGTCCGGGGGGGCAACGACGCAAGATATGTAGCAATCCGCGCCGCCAAGCGATCACACGTAATACGGTCACAATCATGTGCGGGGATCTCTCGTGGCCGCGGCGGGAAATACGCAGCAGCAAAAGCCACATCAATCAATCCAGTCTTAGCCCGTGTAAGCAATCCTCGTCCTCGCATCATACCAAGGACACGCGTCACCTGGACAATCTGCTCTGTCTTGACACGCTCGATCGTTTTCCTCCTGACCGTCGTTCCTGTTGTCGCCCGTTGCTTAATTCCTATAACTGCCACCGCACCAAACTGTGTCACTCTTCTCGCAATGCCCTCCACCCTGTCCAGCGTGTTGGCGGAGAGGGGACTGCAACTCCTAGCTCTGAAACCGAACATCACCACTCGAAACAGCCGCCAGCAGCGGAGAAGCATCCATATCCCACGTAGTGTGTGAATGTGCAACTAGGTTTACGGACGCGCACCGCGATGTCGGACCTGGGCCCTGGGGCTGGAGGGGAGGAGGAGGAGGAGGAGGAGGAGGAGGAGGAGGAACAGAAGGAGGCGGAGGAGGCTCTGGCCGCCGGGCCGCGGCGCGGGCGAAGGGTGCCCGTCGTCCTCGCGCGCTCCCCGCGGGGCGACCCCTCGGGCGAAGGGCACACCCGCCCCACTGCTCCTGCCGCGGGCCGCGGCTCTCGCCACGGGGGCTCGATGTCTCGGCAAGGGCTCGAGCTCAACGATAGTTTGTTGTGTTTCGTTTTGTGATCGGATCCTCCCTCGTTCTGTTTTCGATCCGCCTTGCTTCTGGTCCGACGCAACGTCCAAACGGCAACGGTCCACGAGATCGCCGACAACACCGCTCTGGCTCGAACCCTGCTCTCGAAACGGGGGCTCGTGCTTTCTGTGTTCGTTTTGTTCTCGGTTGTCCATGGATCTGTCGCTGTTCCGCCTTTGCTGCGAAACGAAATCAAAACAAGAGCGGTCCACAAAATCTCCGAAGCATCGTTTAGCACGAGCCCTGGGCTTGATCTCTCAGCGGCGGGACAGCCCGCGAGCCCTGAGACGGCGAAGCGTCGCCGAGGCCAGCATACCCTGACAAGCAGCCACTCTGCTGGTCTCGGCTGCACGTAACTCACCATCGTTTGGACGTCCATTCCTTGTGTTTTTTTCGGTTTCGTGTGTGTGTGTGTTTTCGCCAAATGATCAAGGATGCTCCTCGATGGCCCTCGCCGAGAAAAAATGCACACGTCCGAGCGATGCCAGGGTAAAGAGTGACCCTGGGCAAGCATGGCCTTTGGCGCGCAGTTTTTAGGGGGCCGCTGTCGCATCGCGTTCCGCGATCGGGGGGCCCAGGTGGGCCCACACAAATGGTCACTCCGAAGAAGGGCCACTCGTGCGCGTAGTCGATCGTCCTCGTCCCCCTTCTCCTCCACCCCATCCAGGTCAAACACCTACGCTCCGTGTGCGATGCGATGCGCGACGCGCGGTGATCTTCGCCTCCACCAGAGACCACCTTGGAGCGAAGAGCAGCTCTCCTGGGCAAAGCGCTGACCACAGGGCGAAACCAGCCGTGGCCACGAGGGACGGGTAGTGGTATCGGTACTTCTCCGTCCACTGACTCCCATTCTCTTCCCCTCCACTTATATTCCCTCGCCTGTTCTTTCTCTCTCTCGATCTCGTTCTCTTCCCATCCCCTTCGTCTTCCCTCCGACCCTCACGCACGACGAACGCATCCACATCCATGCCCTCGCGTCTTGACGCTTACACGTGATCCCGTGGATGCGCGATCCTGCGGTCCGCGCGGCGCATCTGGGCAGCGCCGCCCTGTGTATCCACGGGTGCGCGGCCCAGGAACTCAGACCGCGAGGCTGTGGATGGGTACATCGCCATGCGTTCTGCCCGCGCATCCTTCCCCCTCCATGGCGCCGTCTCCGTGCCTCATCCCTCCGCCGCCGCCCATGGGCCACCGCGCTCGCAGAGAAGAAGTTCTGGAAGTCCTTCACCAAAAAGCGGAGCTCCTCCTTCCCGGTCTCCCCCTGCGCGCGCAGGAACATCGCGTGGCCCGCGATGACCGCCTCTGGCACGACGGAAACGAGGTCTGGGGGCACAAGGACCTGCTTCGGACCTCTGGTGCTCTCCCCGCGCCCAGAGACCGTCGTGAAACCACTCGGGACGGACCACCTGTCCCTGGGAAAAGCCCCAGGGTCTGGGGCTCGTTTCCATCAGGACTCATTTCCTTCATGGCGACGCCTTCTGGAGGGGCTCCCAGGGCTGCACCAGCTCCTTCGGAAGGATGCCCTCAACCTCGGAGGCCATCATGGCCTCTCCTCCCTGCCCGCTCAGCGTCATGTGGAGTGCGATGTGCTCCAGGATTCGCTTGAAGGCCTCGATCTTACCCTCCTCCTCCTCCCTTCTCCTCCTGCTCCTCCTCCTCCTACCCTGAAGTCGGGCCAGTCCTCCTACGGGGGGTGTTTTGGACGAAAAATCAAGGAGTGAGGTGGCTGAACCGAACGGTCATTCACTGTCCCTGGGTGCGTGGCTGAAGTGGAATTCCGCGATGCGGATTAGTGTTATTGTTGTTGTCGTTGTTGTTGTTATTGTTATTGTTGTTGTGGTTGTTGTTGTTGTTGTTTTGTTGCTGTTGTTGCTGTTGTTGTTGTTTGTTGTTTGTTGTTTGCTGCTCGTTGTTTGTTGTTTGTTGGTTGTTGGTTGTTGTTTATTGTTGTTGGTTGTCGTCGTCCCACCCGCGACCCGCCCCGCGACCCACCCCGAGACCCACCCCGCGACCCACCCGCGACCCACCTGCGACCCACCCCGCGACCCCACCCGCGACCCACCCGCGACCCACCTCGCGACCCACCCGCGACCCACTCCCGACCCACCCCGCGACCCGCCCGCGACCCACCCCGAGACCCCCCTGGCGACCCACCGGCGACCCACCCGCGACCCACCGCGACCCACCCGCGACCCACCCGCGACCCACCCCGCGACCCACCCAAAATGTTCGCCGCCTGCGGCGGGCTTCTATTGCATCCGTTCCAGGTGGAGAACCTGCGACCCACCCGCGACCCAAACCGCGTTCAGTGTACAAACTTACATTTTCGCGCCTGCGGCGGGCTGTTTTTGAATTCCTTCCAGGTGGAAGTGGAGAGCCCGCCACCCACCCGCGACCCAAACTACGTTCACTGAACAAGCCAAAACATCGGCGCGTGCGGCGGGTTTCTTTTGCATTCGTTCCAGGTGATGAACCTGCGACCCAAACCGCGTTCAGTGTTCAAAGCGAAATTTTCGGCATCTGCGGCGGGCTGTTTTTGAATTCCTTCCAGGAGGAGGTGGAGAGCCCGCGACCAACCCGCGACCAAAACTACCTTCACTGAACAAGTCAAAACTTCGGCGCCTGCGGCGGGCTGTTCTGGCATTCGTTCCGACGACGACGAAGGCTCGAGGCCTGCGTCGCCCGCGGCGCCCGTGCGCGCCCCCTCACTCTTATCCGCAATTGCGGGTTCGGGGTGCTACATCAAAAATCAGAAGAAAAAAAAAACCAGAATGGTCAAACAATGCTCAGAAAATCAGCCTCCTGTAGACGGACAGGCCCGACTCAATCCTACCCATCCTCATCCCCTTTCCTCCTCCTCCTCCTCCTCCTCCTGCTCCTCATCCTCCTCCTCCTCCTCCTCCTCCTCCTCCTCCTCCTCCTCCTCCTCCCCCTCGTCCTCCTCCTCCTCCTCCTCCTATTCCTCCTCCTCCTTAAGGTCTTGGATCCCAATCCTCATCCTCGCATCGATTCTCCGAACCCTCTCTTTGAGGCCTCCATCTTCTCGTCCTTGTTGTGCCGGTCTGCCTGCGACTTGCTCAGGACACGCTGGAGCATGACGTCGATGGCCACGCGGTACACTGAGGTGATGTTGGCCTCGGCCCGAGCGGGCTTCTCCACGCTTCGGGCTCGGGGGGCAAACAGAAAACGATCGAACCGGCATGTTATTGGCCAGGCCAGGATGCGGTCGAAAGGTAGCCGACGAAGAGAAATATAACCTGAACTTTTCCGCCGTTCGGGACGCCTGCTCCACAGCGGCTGGAAAATCTATACCCTGACGTGCCACCGTAAAGGTATAAACTTTCCAGCTGCACTGGGGCAGACGTGGTCGGCGGCAGACAAAAAAAGGTTATACCGTTCTGCGTCTGCCGAGAGACATCTGGAGCTGCCGGCCCTGAACATGCCCGCTGCGTGCACGTCGCCTGGGCACGGGCCCGGGCCCGCTGGTTCGCCTTTTCCTGCCCCACACCCGTCGGAGCGGCGGGCGGTGAGACCCGTGCGGGCCTCCTCCTTCTCCTCGTGGTCCTCCTGTTGGCGGCGCGCCAGCGAAAATGGGTGGGGCTCTGCCAAGAGAGGGCGGCATTCGAAGAGGGAAGGGGGCATCCGTTTGTTCATTGATATCAATATCTCTCTCTCCCTCCCTCCTTCCCTCCCTCCCACCCTCCCTCTCTCCCTCTCTCTCTCTCTCTGTCTCCCGCTTCGCTCACGCATACCACCCCGCAAGCAGCTGACACCTCGAGGACCAGTCGCCGAGGTGCGCTGGCCATGCAAAGTGACCAGGCTCAGGCACACCAGCGACAGTCCCAGACGAGGTGCCGCACATCGTGGTGCACGTGAGGAGAGAAGGGGTTGAAGCGTCCAGGAGCTTGCAAGAAGGCCCTTTTTATCGGAGGACGTCAGCTGACCACCTCAGAGATCCTGGACCCAAGATCGGTATATAGCTCTCCCTGGCAAAGCCATGTCCAGGCACAGGATGGGCCAGGGCGTGATCGGATAGTTAGATGGTCAGATGACGTGCCCCAGTCTCAGAAGGCAGGGGAGGGCATCCCATAGTGCTCCCCTGGGCGTGTGAGAGGCCCACCCCCACCCACAAGCCCCTTCCAAGCAAGCCGCCTGTCCTGGTCCTCGTGGTCCTCCCCACGCTGCTGGGCTTCTTTCTTCTCGGCCTCTTTCTTTTGCATGGTCTGCAGGTAGCACAGCAACATGCTGAGCATCATCGGGTTGCCGAAAACCTCCTCCTGCTTCTCGCCGTCGGCCCCGTTGGTCGACTGCTGGTTGTCCCTGTCCATCCCACTTCGGTTCAACTTCGCAAACAGAGAATCGAACGCATCAATTCCAGATATCCCCAACCGTGTGTGCGCCACCATTCGGATCTGCTCGTTGGAAAGGTTGTCAAGCTTCATTGCCACCATGCACTCGCTGATGTCCTCGAGGGTCGACTGGCCCCCAATGAGCGGCCTGGAGGTCACAAAAACTAGATGACGCTCCTGCATGCGCAACTTGATGCAGCACTCGATCACCTCCTTGAGCTCTGCGGAATCCTCGAGGCCTTCGAAAATGAACATCACTCGGTTCATCTTGATCGCCTGGCAAATCATCAGATAACGTGAGCTGTCCTCTCCGAATGTGATGCGCAAATACTTGTCGAACCAATCGTGGATAACGCTGGGGTCCAGCTTGCTCAGCTCCGGGTCCGGCGTGGAGCGCCTAACGAGGTCTGCCACGGACAGGAGCAGGGGCATGATATTGGTGTTCCTGTCCACGAGCTCCATGATCAGGCGGCTGACCATACAGGTCTTCCCGCTGCCCGGCGAGCCCAATATCAAGAACGCGTTGGGCGAGCACGACGGCTCCCCCCGCTCAAATGTCTCGATCACCTTGAGGATGTGCTTCCATCCTCTCTGGGGCCCAGCCTCATTGTCCTCACCGCTGGAATTTGTTGCGCTCAGGCTCCTCTGGATCGCCCTGGCCAGACCCTTCCCGGCCTTCACCCCGAAATTTATGCCCTTCGTCTGCAACGTGGGCGGGGCACACTCCTTGACATTGAGCCTTGCGCCGGACAGAGAATCGATGATGAGGCTCGACCGTGCACGCAGGTACGCTTTGAAGCGGTGCGTCTCTTCCTCGAACATCTCGGCAGTCACGCCTGGGACCACCCTCCCACTGCTCATGGGGTCGAGATGCCTGTACTCCTCAGACGGCTGACCGTCGTTGGCAAACGGCATCTTGATTTTGTACTGCCAGTTCGTCTCATCGGTAGACCTCTTTGCTCTTTGCACTTGGGGGAAAGGCGTCCTGACAGACGGGTCCTGAACCCCAGGCCCCCTCAATGACCAATTGTTCGTCCTGAGCCGTCTTTTGAAGGTGCCGCGGTACAGGAAGGCCCCGAAAAAGCCGAACACGGCGAAATAGCTCAGGACCCCGTTCCCTGAAAACTCTTTTCTTCATGGCGATCTTGGCGTCTGGGTCGAAATTCGCAGCCTGGCCCTGTCCTGGGGAACTGTCTAGCCATAACTTTGAGGTGGATCCAACCGTGGCAACGAGGAGCCTCACAGAAGCCCGGAAAGGACTGAAAACGAACCCAAACCTGGAACCTTGATCCCCGCACCCCGACCATTCTTCTCTTCATGCCGAGCGGGTGATCGAGGAGGAGGAGGAGAGGAGGAGAAAGAACAATGACCCCTTCTCTTCATGCCATGAAGAAAAGGGGGCATGGTGAGGACCTCTCGACCACGGTGGCGTCGACCCAGCTGAAGTCGTCCGCGCTCCTGGTGACCAGAATCGACTGGCCGACGTCGTAGCGTCGCGGCATGATGAAGGTGTGGTTCGCAGGTGTGGGGTCCCAAGCCGCCTCTTGAGAGGAGGCGGGGAGGAGGAGGAGGAGGAGGAGGAGCAGGAGGAGGAGGAGTAACGGCGACTTGAAATCATCAAGACGGCCGCTTTGGCCTCTGAAGTTCAGTTTCAAACTCTAGACCGCCAACAAGACTACCCAGGAGCAAGGGGCCCAGGGACACACACACACACACACATCAAAAAAACACCAACCCAAGGATTCCCCGTATGTATTTTCCATATTTCCAAATGTCCTGGATGTGTGTGTGTATGTGTGAACGGTGTGTGTGTGTGGATGTGTGTGTGTGTGTGGATGTGTGGATGTGTGTGTGTGTGTGTGCGTGCGTGGGTGTGTGTGTGTGTGTGTTTGCGTGTGCGTGTGCGTGTGCGTGTGCGTGTGCGTG